CAGAACAACTGAAAAAAGGGAGCCACTCAAAGGCCTGTGAGTCACTGCAAGGGACCACTGCAGGGCCTGTCACGTGGGAAGTGTTTGGAGCACGAGCAGTGGGGGAGACGGGCCCACCAGGGGAACACTGGCATACAGCAAGGACATCTGATCTGCCCCCCAATCAACACAGGACCACTCAGAGGAGACTGGTCAGGAATACAGAATTGCATGGGGTGCAGTTTGATGAAAAAACTCAGGCCCAGATCAGAAATTCTACAGAACACAGATCCACTGTGTCTCTGGAGAGCCGGAAGTACCTATAAGGTCAACCATTAAACCTTGAGCTGCACAAAAAGTCTTCCCTAGGGAAACAGCAGCAAAGTAGCAGTTTAGCTCAACTACACAGCTTAAGTACTGGTTCCCACAGGAAGTTCCCCCGTGTTAGAAGCAAAGGACAAAAAACCAGTTCTGCGCCAGGCACACCACCAGCACCTCGGGGCCTGCCTGGGAACTGCAGGCTTGGATCTGGGGACTGGACCCCAATCCCAATTCCAGGCAAACTGTACCAGTGCATCGTGGCCAGCCTGGGGACCTGAAGCATGGAGAAGAGGACTGGACGCCCCTCCCACAACCAAGTACAAGGCAGCACCTTGGGGACTGCCTGGAGACCTGAGGCAAGGAGAAGGGGAACAGTCCTCTCTCCCACAACCAGGCACACTGAGCCAGCACGTTGGGACCCACCCAAGGACCCGGGGTATGGAGTTGGGGACTGGACCTCTCTCCCACAACCAGGCACAACATGCCAGCTACTTGGAGCCCACCCAGGGAACCTGGGCAAGGAGAAGGGGAATGGTCCTCTCTCCCACAACCAGGCACAATGCGCCAGTGCTTCAGGGCCCACCCAGGGACCTGAGGCATGGAGAAGGGGACTGGACCTCTCTCCCACAACGAGGCAAACCAAGCCAGCACATCAGGGCCCACCCACCTTCCCGGGTCATGGAGAAGGGGACCAGACCAGCCTCTCACAACCAGGCACACCACACCAGCACCTTGGGCCCCGCCCATGGACCCAGGGCATGGAGAAGGGGATCAGACCACCCTCCCACCACCAGGCACACTGAGCCAGAGCCTTGGGGCCCACCCAGGGACCCAGGGTATGAAGTTGGGGACAGGACCTCTCTCCCATAACCAGGCATAATATGCCAACAACTCAGAGCCCACCAATGGAACTGGGGCAAGGAGAAGGGGAATGGTCCTCTCTCCCTAAATCAGGCACACCGCGCCAGTGCTTCAGCGCCTGCCCAGAGACCTGAGGCATGGAGAAGGGGACTAGACCACTCTCCCACAACCACGTACACTGCACAAGTGCCTCAGGGCCTGGCCGGAGTCCTGAGGCATGGAGAAGGGGACTGGACCTCTCTCCCACAGCCAGGCACACTGAGCCAGCACTTTAGGGCCCACCCGGAGACCTGAGGCATGAAAAATGGGACTGGACCTCTCTCCCACAACCAGGCACACAACACCAGCACCTTGGGCCCTGCCCAGGGACCCAGGGTATGGAGTCAGGGACCGGACCACCCTCCCACAGCCAGGCACAACATGCCAGCATCTCAGAGCCCACCCGGGGACCTGGGGCATGGATAAGGGGACTCGACCTCTCTCCCCCAACCAGGCGCAACATCCCAGCACCTTGGTGCCTGCCAGGGAACCCAAGGCAAGGAGAAGGGGACCAAACACACCCCACAACCAGGTATACCGCCAGTGCCAAGGAGCATGCCAAAAACAGCACCCCCACATGGGTGGCCCACCACAGTCACCACAATAACCATGGCTGCTGCAAAAGCGGGTAGATGCCACAACCACCATGCAGATGGTCCGCCAACCACTGGAGTGCATTCACATAAGAGTCACCAGCAGAGACAAAGAAAAAGAGGATGTCTCTTTCCGAGGATGTCTCTTTCCTCAAAACCCATTTCAGAGTGACAGAAGAAGCATCTGCTCTATGATAATATTGGGAGACCTGATCACATCTCTCAGCATTGTACCGATCATCTAGGTAACAAGTTAACAGAGTAACCATTATTCTTTCAGAAGGAGAGAAGATATCTAGGCAATTAGAGGGTGGAGGGGGAGAGAATAAGGGAAGGGGAGAGATTGGACAAGGGGCATAAAGAATAATTATGATCTGTAACAAAATATGCTAGTAATACTGATTTAATCAACATATCTCAATGTTCAACCCCAAAAATATGCATAATCAATTTTGATTCAATAAATAAAATAAATTATTTTTAAGAAATAATAATAAAAAAATTAATTAAACAAAAAAACAATTTTTTTTTTAACTGCTAAGGGGATTGCGACACTCGGCATGGTATGGTCTGCACCACGCTCAGCCAGTGAGCTCACCGGCCATCCCTATATAGGATCCAAACCTGCAGCTTCGCTGCTATCAGTGCCACACTCTCCTGAGTGAGCCAAGGGGCCAGCCCTAAAACACAATTTTTTAAAGGAAAAGAATAAAAGGTATCCAAATTGGGAAGAAAGAAGTAAAACCACCTCTATTTACAAATAAGATGACTGTATGTCTAGGATACCACAAAAAGTCCACCAAAAAACCTACTAGAGCTAATAAACAAAATTAGCAAATTTGCAGGGTACAAGATCAGTTAAAAGATCATAAAAATCAGTTATGCTTTTATACACCAGGAATGAAAAATCCAGAAGGAAAAAAAAAAAACTGTTCTATTTGCAGTTGCATCCAAGAGAATAAAATATCTAAGAACAGGGCAGGCCCGGTGGCGCACTGCTACAGTGCGCCGCTTGGGAGCGCGGTGGCGCTCCCGCCGAGGGTTCAGATCCCACATATGGACCGGTTCCTGCTCACTGGCTGAGCGAGGTGTGGGAGCAGCACTGGGGGTTGCAATCCCGTTGCCGGTCCCGGTCCGGTACGGGCGCGACACTGAGGGTTGCAATCCGTTGCCGGACACGAAAAAAGACAAAAAAAGGAAAAAAAAAAAAAATGAGCGAGGTGTGGGAGCAGCACTGGGGGTTGCAATCCCGTTGCCGGTCCCGGTCCGGTACGGGCGCGACACTGAGGGTTGCAATCCGTTGCCGGACACGAAAAAAGACAAAAAGGAAAAAAAATATATATCTAAGAATAAATTTAACCAAGGAGGTTAAAGACTTGTACTCTGAAAACTAAAAAACATTGTTGAAATAAATTAAAGAGACATAAATAAATGGATAGATTCCAAGTTCATGGACTGGAAGACAATATTGTTAAGATGGCAATACTGCCCAAAGTGACCTACAAATTCAATGCAAACTCTATAAAAATTCCAATGGCCTTTTTCTGCAGAAATGGAAAAGCCGGTCCTCAAATTTATATACAGTCACAAGGGGACTTGAATATTTAAAACAGTATGGATAAAATAAGAAAATTGGAGGACTCACATATCCCAATTTCTAAACTTGCTTCGAAGCTGCAGTAATCAAAAGAGTGCTGTACTGGCATAGGGATAGACACACAGGCCAACAGAATAGAACTGAAAGTCCAGAAATAAATGCATAAATATATGGTCAACTGATTTTTGACAAGGGTGCCATTCAATGTGGAAAGAATCGTCTCTTCAACAAATAGTTGGGGCAACTGGATAGACACATGTAAAATTATCAAGTTGGACCTCTAAGACAAACCATTTACAATAATTAACTCAAAGGGATAAATAATCTAAATATAAGAGCTAAAACCATTAATCTCTTAGGAAAAAACACAGAAGTTATCTTCATTACCTTGGATTTGGCAATAGATTCTTAGATATGGCACCAAAAGCACAAACCACCAAAGAAAAAAATAGATAAATTGGACTTTCTCAAAATTACAAACTTTTGTACATCAAAAGACATCATCAAGAAAGTGAAAAGACAACCTAGAATTGAAGGAAATATTTATAAATCATATATCTAGTAAGGGTCCCACTGGATATTTCCAGAATATGTAGGGAATCCTTACAAATCAACAACAAAACCACAGAAAATCCAATTCAAAATGGTCAAAGGATTTGAAAAAGATATTTCTCCAAAGATACACAAATAGCCAAAATGCATGTGAAAAGATGCTCAACATTATTAGACATTAGGGAAATACAAATGGAAACCACAATGAGATACAACTTCATACGACTAGGATGACTATAATCAAAACGGGGGTGGGGACAGATAACAAATGGTGATATTGTAACCCTGGAGCATTGTTGGTAGGGATGTAAAATGGTTGAGCCACTTTGTAAAACAATTGAAGACTCCTTCAAAATGGTCAACATGGAGTTCCCATGTGACCCAGCAATTACATTCCTAGAGAATTGAAAATATGTCCACATGAAACCTTACACATGAATATTTATAGCAGCATTGCTCAAAATAGCCCCAAAGCAGAAACAGCCCAAATTCAGTGAATTTCATAAACGGATGAACAAAACGCAGCATATCCATACAAACGTAATACTATTCAGCCATTAAAAGAAATAAAATGCTGTTACGGGCTGGGGAATTGTGAGTAACTGGTTAATGGTACAGGTTTTAATTTGGAGTGATTAAAAATTTTTGAATTAGTTAGAGAAGATGGTTGCATGATATTTAAATGTACTAAATCCCCGGAACCGTTCACTATAAAATACTTAATTTTATGTTACGTGAATTTTATATTGATTAAAAAAAAAAAAAAAGAGGAGAGAGGAGGGGGGGTTAGTATTTTGTGAATAGAAGGAAGAGAAAGCTTTTGTGAGGGAACGTCAGGGAGGGAAAGTCTTTTTGAAGGGAGCTCAGGAGAGAAGGACTTCCCGAGGGAGATGAGAGGGGAGGCGGTTATGAAAGGAAGTGAGGACGGGAAGGCCTTAAGGAAGCGAGGGGCCTGGAGGGCGGGCGGGAAGGCTGACGTGGGGGCATGCGGGCTTGACCACACCCTGGCACCTCCCCTCCCCAGCGTCTCCCTGGCCCTGCTTGGGGCCGGCACTCACCAGAGCTTAGGTTGCCGCACAGCAGGATCAGGGCCCACATGAAGAACAAGAGCAGCCAGTAGCGCTTGGAGGCCCACATCTTCACCAGACAGTGGCTCATCCCAGACAGGAGGCCATGCAGACAAGCCCCCATAAAACTGATGACCCCAAAAAGCGACCCGGAGACCGGGTTCTCCGTATTACATCCCACATCATGATATAGCACGTTCGCGCGTGCCCTGCGGGCCACCAGCAACCTCTTCATCCTACGGCTCCTCGACTTATTTCTCCTGTGCGCTTGTCCCACCCGGGAATCCATGGCTCCGGTTCCACCTCACTATGGCGGTTACCTCACAGCCTATCGGTCAATGACCCAGAGTTCCCTGCGGCATTCTGTAACCCAGAATGCCTAGCCTGGCTGCACGTGGGAGGCCTCGCGGGAGGCCTCGCGAGGCTTGAGGCTGCTTCCTTCCCAATGATGTCTCCTGCCTCATTCCACAGGCCCCGCCCCCTCTTAGCTAATTGGATACTGTATCATATACCCCATTCAAGGCCTGTCCCTTTCGGGTGCTTGTTCAATGCTTGCTGAATACGTGGATGAGGCTTCAGGCCTGCGCCAGTAGCACAAATGCTTGTCATAGATCAACAAAAAGGAATAACTGGAATTCAAACTTGGCTGATAATTCCTCCTCTCATTAATTTCTGTTACACCCGCTTTAGCCACGACAGTAGCTATAGTTAGTCCCAACAATGCTACAGCTGTAGCTAGCCAAACGTGGCTATTTAAATGTAAATTTTAATTTCTTAAAATTAAGTGGAATTAAGAAATTGCCTCCACAATCACGGTAGGCACATTATCAAGTGTTCAACAGCCGTACGTTCCTCTGGTTACCGTCTGGGACAGTGCCGATATGGAGCATATTCACCATGGCAGAAAGTTTTCTTTGGCAGTGCTGGATGTGAAGAGTGACTATAGCGAATACAGTAGATGTTCAATAGATAGTGACACTGTAGTAGGAGCTTTTAAGTGTGACAAAATGATATTTAACTTCAGAGACCTTAAAATTGAGTTACAAATAAATGACACATGAGAACAAATAATAAATTACAAATAAGTGAAACGTGATAACAATGTGTGAGGAACACTAAAGCGTGACCCAGAACACCTAGATTTTATTGCCATAATTGCCACCCACGAACTGGGTGGCCCTAAGTAAGTGCCATCCTCCCACTAAGCCTCAGTACCTCATGTGCAAAATGAGAGGGATGGACGTTGTTTCTAAGCCCCCTTCTGGCTCAAAAATCTGACCCTTAGGCAAAATCCCATTAAATCCCTTGGTTTGGGCACACCTTCCAAAGGGCCACGTAGATGATGCTTCTGTAGCTGTTAGCCTACCACGTGCTGGTTTACAATGAATGTGAGAACTATGTCCCCTTCAACTGCAAGGATGAAAGAAACATCCTTGTTCTTACCATAGTATACTCACTTTCCAAAGGGTTTTCTACTAATTTTATTTTATTGTTCTTTCCAGTGTTAATAGGTATTCCATAAGAGGAGAAAGTGGCAAGTTTTCCTATTTAAATAATTCCTGAGGGCCGGCCTGGTGGCGCACTGGAGAGTGCGCCGCTTGGGAGTGCGGCGGAGGGTTCGGATCCCATGTGGAGACCGGTTCCCGCTCACTGGCTGAGCGAGGTGCGGGCGCAACACCAATGGTTGCGATCCCGTTGCCGGTCAGTAAAAAAGACAAAAAAAAAAAAGGAAAAAAATGATTCCTGAAATTTAGCACTCTCTATCCACCACCCCATACCCAGAAGCAATTCATAATGCTCTTTAGTTTACTAAAAGACATGACAGAAAAAGAAACTACTTTCCTTTACTTTTATTCTCAATCTTTTTTTATTTTTATTTTTGCTTCAGCTTTTCTAAAACCAATTTGACCAGAGGACCGTTGTCCCACAAAACACTTACTAGCAGCTTCTGAAACTACTTCCGCTTGCAACTGTGAAGAACTGTGAAGTGTCTGAGATTTTACTCCACTTTCAAGTAACAACATAGCCAGCCACAGTTTCGTAGATGCTGGCAGAAGATGAAAGGCTACTGGGTCAGAGACAAAAGACAAAAGCTCACTTGAGACATGCAGAAACTTGACAGACCCATGGAGAATTGCCTCACAACAGCAACCTTGTTCATGTCCTACCACACGTGGGAAATGATCATATGACCAGGCACCACCAGCCACCCTGAGGACCCAGATGATAAAGCTGGAGTGTATGGGTTGGGAACTCTGCTTGTGACCACCTCACAAGTTGAGCACTTTTAGCCTTAGTTTTCCCCTCTGGCAATTATGAGCTGTGGGCAGCCAGACTGTAAAGATACCTTCCAGCTCTGACATGCTATGGCTTGTACTTGACTGTAGCATTTGGGGTTGCTGTAAATAGGCGAGGCATGGCAGTTCTACTACAGCACAATACTCCTGAGCAATCCATGTTATATTATTAGAAACCCATATTACTAATAGGAACTCAGAGGGACAAAATCACTTACAATACACCTGCTCACTCCCTGGATATCATAACACTAATTCAAAATTGGGGCCACAAAAAAACCACGTGAAGTATCCATTTTATAAATTATCAGATGTAAATTTAAAATCCTGCACTGGCTTTCTCTTTTATTCTATACCCTTAAGAAAGCTAGATTTGATACTAGCCAACCCAGACCTAATTAGTGATGAAAATCTTGTTGCATGAGTGTGAATACAAGAACCGTTTCATGAGATGGTATGTACCACTGCTCAGGATGTAATACTGTTCTTGTGGTAGACTGAGAATTGACACTATTTTTTAAAATATCACCAAAGACAGACATGAAAGGACACTCAACTTCAGGTAACCAGAGAAGTACAAATTAAATGAAAAATGAGCTATCATTTCACAATCAGATTGGCAAAAATCAATAAAAATTCACAGTAATGTGCAGAAATAGGCATTCAATCATTGCCAGTTGGGGTGCAAATAGGTACAATCACTTTGTTTTTTTTTTTTTCCTCTTTGATAACACCCTGTAAAGTTAAATATTCACATATTCTCTGACCCAGAATTTCCACTTGTAGTTATCTACACTTTCACCCATGTGTACAAGGAGACATATATAAAGATTTTTGTTGCACTAGGGAGAGTGCAGCACTGGGAGTGCAGCAGTGCTCCCACCGCGGGTTTGGATCCTATATAAGGATGACCGGTGCACTCACACAGCACTCACTGGCTGAGCGCCAGCGCGGTGCGTCAGGTCTCAAAAAGGACAAAAAAAAAGATCTTTGTTGTTATAGTGAAAACAAAATAAAAGATGTCTCAGTAGGGAAATGGAAACAAGCTATGGTTTGTTCCTATAATATATAACACTTAATGATGATTAGGATTGATCACTGCTTGAATGTGTGTCCCCTCCAAAGCTCGTATTGGAACGTTATTCCCAATATGGTATTTGAAAGGTGGCACCTTTAAGAAGTAATTGGATCATGAGAGCTATGCCCCCATGAATGGATTAATTCATGGATTAATGGGTTTTCAGGGACTGGATGGGTAGCTTTATTAGAGGAATAAGAGAGCACATGGATGTGTTCTTGCCCTGTTGCGATGTGATTCCCCCCACTGTCTTGGGAGTCTGTAAAGAGTTTCCACAAATCTCTGTTCCTTACTATCTGTCAGGGTTTAGTTGCAGATAGCTAGAATAGTTAAATAGAATACATAACTAATTATTTTAAGCAAAAAGGGATTTAATACAGGAAATTTGGTGATTACAAAATTGTAGTTGATTTCAAAATTGGCTGGCTGGACATTTTATCCTGATAATTTAGACAAGATGCTCTCTGTTGACCTCACCAGATCCTCTCTCTTGGCCTTATGTTTCCCAGCCTCCAAAACTATAAGAAATAAATGTATTTCGTTTATAAATTATCCAATTTGGGGTTTTCTGGTTAAAGGCTGACTTCTTCTAGGTGAGGTGGCACACAGTAAAACCAGTGAAGCCAATGGGCCTCAGTCTATTGCTGGCTGCACTTCTGTTAGGGTAATATGAGTTCCTTTGATGGAAGTAATGCTTTGTAAGATACAATGGTGGTGTCTAAGGTATTCAATAAATCTATAGATGACAGGGTTAGCAGAGGTGTGGTAGGCAGGAAAACAAATTCAATCCGGAGTGAGAATCTATTCAAGTGAAGAAAAATATCATTGGCCACTCTATAATAGAAGTGGTCCAATGTAATTAACCTGTCCCAAGGTGGCTGGATGGTACCCATAGGATATGATGCCATATCAGGAGCCCAGAGTCGATGGCTTCTACTGGCAAATTGGGCATTTGAACAGCAGGAATAATCAGTTTTGGTGAGGAGAAATCTGTATTATTGAGTCCATGCATAACTTTCATCCCTGTCCTCATGGCCATTTTGTGTATGAGACCATCAATCAAGCACTGGGGCAACCAAGGGAAGAGTCTGATTGACATTTACTAAATGGGCATTAAGTCCACTTGATTATTTAGCACCTCTTCTACAAAGAAAACCTTTTGACGAATATTTCCTTTCAAGACATATTATCACACTCTAAGTGTATCGTCGATCAATTTGCATACCTCTTTCCCAAATTTCCTTGTTTTCAGTTCTCTAAACTTGCTCCTTTCAAGACCCTGACTATCCAGCTGCAACACTGGCCTTTGCCATGAATAAGCATAGATTCTTGCCACAGCCCTTCTCTTCATCTAGGTAAGTGGAACAATTTCCAGGCAATGGGGACAACTAGATATACTGCTTAAAGTTCTGCCTCATCTTGAAACTTTCAGTTGCATGAGATAGTACATTTCCTAATAGTTTTAACCACTTTGAGTTAGTGTTTCTGTTTCTGGTAGCCAAATGCTTTCTAACTAATACAGTTGTCCAACCTATCTCACTAGGAAGGGTATGCACCATTTGATCACATACCCCCAATTCAATGCCATCAGTAGAAAATATCCCAGATTTGAACACCACATAAGTAGCTGTATGTACAGAGTAAAGCATTTGTTAAACAAATGAACAAAGAGATATAAATGTTTTCAACAGCTATTGCTTACAGATAGTGAGGAATAGAGATTTGTTCCTCTGAATAGTTTACATGACTAATTAGTTTAAGCAAAAATAATGTTTGATACAGGGAA